GTGGCGCGGGGGGGGGGGGGTGGGGGCACAAGTCCACTATGTGATAGCCCATTGGAGGTGACAGGTTCTCTTTAAGGTGATATTAGAGGTCTATTAGTCCTCTAATTTGTCCTATGCACTTCTCTAGCCGGAAAATGTCAGCTGAGAAGCTGGAAGTGATACAATCAGTGATGAATCTCCTCAATAGGGACACAGACAGCAATAAAAACCTAATGGCAACTCTAACCCATTTAACAAAAGCTATCTCAAAAGTGGCACGCCGCTTGCAAAAGGTCAGCCTGAAATAGAAGAATATTTGCTGCGATTGTTTGCATACATTCACATACTTTGTTAGTAAATGGCCCCCTAGAACAGGGGGAACTACAAATCCCATGAGACATTGCAAAAATCTCAGACGCTCGCCGAGCGAATGGCTCTGCGAACATTTTTAGAAATACCCCCCATAATCTCTTCATGCCATAAACTCTTATAATGTTATATTCCGTGTCCTGTAACATAGTTATAATCATATGGTTTCCCAGTGCTGAAAGAGCCTTGTGCAATGGTTTATTTTACTGTATATTGCATTGGTTGCAGACATGATGGTCGGGGTTATCCACGCACTGCAGAGTTTGTACCGGCCTGTTGGTAAAACACAAAATGACCTCATTTGTTATATGTCACAGAATGGAAGAAATATTATGAACTGTATACGCTTCGTCCCCAAACAAATTGGTCTGTTTGACTTTACACCTGTTTTACTATCAAATGTGTGATTATCAATGGCTATGGAATAAATACTCTTTCTCAATTCATGTGTAATAATATTTGGTGATAATACTATGGGTGTGTAAATGCTGATATTATCAGTAAGCTTCCTGTTGTGGGAACATGTACAAAGTGAGGAAGGTGATAAAAAGTGAATATTTAAAACCTGCTTTCTAACTTGGTGCGTTCTTCACCCCATTAGTCAGCCGTTTGCCCCATTGTTCTTAGGATACACTTACATATATGGCTTCAATATACCGATGAAATTAAACACACATATGATGCTTCGGTCATCCATTACTGCTCATAATCAATTAGAGGGCTCTGGTTATATCTACTACTGTGTGTGTCAGAATGAGATATAGAGGCTTCTTATATGATAATACGTTTTATCTTTCTAACCTGGACCAAAACCACTTTAGCTATATTACCTCTGTGCTCTCTTACTGAAAACGGAAAAAACTCCTGAGGGACTACTTATAAACAATTTGCAGAGCTATTTGTCCTGCTAAACTCGGTGAACATTTGTTCTGTGCCAATAGAGGCAAAAACACACGTTTTTATTATATATTCTTTCCAGGGTGAATGTAATTTCTGGAAAACACTGCATTATAGCTACTAGATGGAGCTGAGGATCATAGGAAATTACTATTCAGCTGGCAGTCTGGGGTATACCTAGGAGACCAAGCTATACTGCTTAACATCATCGGTGATTCTCCAATAAAATACAATCAGCAGGTTGGGGGTAAACTAAAGTCCAAGTTGTATTGCTTAACGTCATTGGTGATTCCTCATTACTATTCAATCTGCAGGCTGGGGTAAGCCAAAGACCAAGCTGTACTGCTCAAATTCCTTGGTGATCCCCCATTACTATACAATCATCAGGCTTGATTAAACCAAAGACCAAGCTGTACTGCTCAACTTCCTTGGTGATTCTCCATTACTATGCAATCAGCAGGCTTGAGTAAACCAAAGACCAAGCTGTACTGCTCAACTTCCTTGGTGATTCCATATTACTATGCAATCAGCAGGCTTGAGTTAACCAAAGACTAAGCTCTATTGGGTAACTTCACTGGTAATTACCCATTGCTATACAATCAGTAATCTGGAGGTAAGCCGATAACTGAGCTGTATTTCTTAAATTCAAAAGGAAAGTTACTGACTTGGCTATGCTATTTGGCAGGGGTGTCGGGACCACAATTGTCTGAACAGAATAACAAATCATTTGGCTGTTTTTTTTTTTCAGTTCTGCAGTAAGAAGACAAAGTCAAAGAGGTGTACTCACTTGTAGTTGTCAACGCAGGAATAAGTCAGATTGTGTCCTTCAATGTAATGTTGAAGCTCTACTAATGACCCACTGTGGCAGGAATTTCTGAAATATAAAAGTTGCCTTTTATCATTTTATATATA